TTTTTTATTAATATTTTTTTTTGTCAAATTTACGGATTTATTATTGTAATCGCTGCGCTGACGTCACGTTCACCGGCCCGATCGGACACACGCTAAAAAGGTAAAATGTTATATTATAATATATTACGATATTGTCAGGTCGCTGCGGGCAATCTGAAATTTCCTAAGCTAAACGTTCAAACGCCGATAAAGAAAATTGAAAAAAAAAAAAAAAATGACCCATATAAGATGTGAATTGTTAAAAATCGCAACAAACGTTTCCAGTAAAGTACGGTGATGCAGTGAGACCGACGATGACTTTGAAAACGTTCACAAATAGCATTTATCAAATCCAACCTATCGTATTATTATTATGTATGTATTCGGTAGAGGAATAATTTCATTACTTATTCGAAATCGGTTTCGAACGCGAGGTGCGACTTAAATCGGTTTGATTGCGGTAGTCGTTATATAAGTCCGCATTAAAGTACACGAGACAATGTAATTGACTTTTAAAAGTTTTGACTTTTTTCGTTACGAATTTCACGTGTACCGACTCCAAAATATTATTGTGGAGTTCATACAAAACATCATTAACAATAGGTCAGTTACATCGTGTCAATGTCGTGTTTGTTTCTGTTTATACCTATAATTATAAGTTATGACGAAAATCGAAGCATTTTTATTAACTCACAAAGTTTTCTAAGAAAAAAATTATCGAACAGTACCAATAGTAATGTAGGGATTTTCATTCAGTATGTTTTTATTGTGACTATGCCTATATGCAGCTCTATTTAGGTTTTTGGGCTAAAAGCATTTTTATCAAATGCAAAAAAAGACATGTCAAGTTAAAAATCAGGTCGTTTTTTGAAAATTTACTATTATAAATTTGAAAAATTTCGTAAAGTCATCCATGAAAAAATACGACCTTGATCGGGTTTCAATTACGCGCAGTTTATCGCAATGACATTTCTGAAAACATTAGTACTTTTTACCGGAAAACATAAGGGAAATTAAAATATTTTATTTTGTATGGTGTTAATATTTTACGCGTATGTAGTCTAAATTTTTTCTAGAGCTAAATATTTAATACTAGGTATAATCAAATTTTCAATGATTAAAATTGATTTTACGACGCCATTTTTAATGCATTGTTTTATAAAACATAATGTATTTTTTGTTTAATAGGAGATTATACTACTGATAGACATGTCGCTATTGTAAGGCAAGTAGAATATACATAAAGCTATTTGATTTGATAGAAGTATGAAAAAAAAAAAAAAAAATGAAACCATTGTTTTCGTTCTTTTTACGTTTTTCCTCGACTTGGCTCAACTATTAAGAAAACTACACAGACAACTAAAACGAATTTCTTACTCACTTATTAAACTTAAAATGCAACAAAAAAGGTTTCTTGTCGATTTAAGCAATATTTTTAGTGTCATTGGTAAACATTTAAAACAATGAAATAGTAGTACGCCGTAAATTTGTTAGTTAAAACTTTACGTATTTTTTCTGTTTTTTTAAACTGCTTAGAAAACAAAAATGACATAGTTTTTTAACAACTAGATTCAAATCTGGTTTCGAATGTAACAAAAAAAGTTTTATCGTCATATTGTGATTGCAGTAATACGTCCGGTTAAAAATTTCTTCAAAATAAAAAAAAAATAAACACTCTTTGAACTGAAACCAGTACACTTGTCGCTCTGCTCGTCATCTCTGAGAATAATTATACCTATAAAAGAAGATGTAGATAGTTCGTAATAATAAACACGTACAACAGGTGATTATTTTATCGTTAAACACTCGTTATTTCGAAACGTATTGACTCTTTTTGAAAACTCAAGAAACAATAGTTCTAAATTGTACGTAAATTGTATCTTTTTTTTTTTTTGCACCCTAATTTTCAGAGGTAAAACGGCTAAGTAGATTTTTAAATAGCGACCTAAAATGCAAGTCCTTTAAATAGACGGAGTATCAGTTAAAATAAATACTGGTCCTGAAATTTTTAATTTCCGTCAATCCGTTGACGAAGATATAACAATTTTAATTTTGGGTAGGAGGACAGTAGCGGTGCATTATTAAAACGCCGCACGTCATGCTGCCAAAAACATTATTTATTTACAGGACTTTTATTATAGGTTTCTATTTTAAAATCGAAAGTAAGTAGTCGTTTCACTGCTAAAAATTAGAGTGACGAAAAATAATGTAAATGTAAAATTGTAGAGCTGCTTGTTTCTTAAATTTCCTGTAAAACAGATTCCGAAAAAAGCGAATACATTCCGAGATAATAAGAGCTTAACTATCAAATGATAACTTTGTACATAAAGAGCATATTATTTGATAACTAATTAGATTCAGATAACCGAGGAATGAACGTTGTTCTCAATAGTTTGAAAATGACTGTGATTATTTGGTTATTATTGTGATTAAAGACGTTATTAATTTAGCTATTACTGTGATTGTTATTTCATATTTTGGTAATATTTTATTTATTACAGTCATAAACTAAAGTGGGATATTACTACCGTATTATAATAACTTATAATTCTAGAAGTGATCAAACACAGAACGTGACGTGTACTGATTTTGTAATAAACGGTATAATAAATAATCGGGCATTATTAATCATTAAGTTAACTAGTAAATTTAACAACGTTTCATTTATGTTTAATCTGTTCAAAATCTGTCTTTTCCCATTTAAAATAGGAATGTCTAAATAAGTCAAAAGGAATTTTTTTGTTTCGAATTCAAAGGGCAAAATCTTCAAAACGTAAAATGTATAACGTTTAACCAATTGGTTAAATCACAACATAATTTTCACAACCTTAAATCCAAATTAATTTTTTTTTTTTGGCTTAGCAGAGCTCCTCTAATTTAATACTCCAAATTCGAGCACTTATTACAATAAATGATTATAACGAAATATTGTGGTTAAATTTTAAAGAATACCGATGTAGGAATTGTCATTGAATCGTGAAGCTATGATACCGTGCCTACGAGGAAGCATAATACTTGAAGTTTTACCAATCACAACACCAATGTGTACAATTACATTTATATAATATAAATTTAAAATTAAAATTAAAAAAAAAAAGAGGGACTAAATTACTTTAATTTGCGTGAAAATGAATAATATAATAAAAACAAAAAAAATATCTATTAGATCGCGTTTTCTTTTAAACCACTTCATTTAATAATCAATTTGATATGCTTGTATGCTGAGTATTTATGTATACAAATTAATGCACTTAAAACAGATTTTTAAAACGGGGTTAGGTTAGATTAGGCTATAATACTCATATTCAGTAAGAATTTACTATTTATTTTCTCCGAGTTAACGTAGACCGTATTTGCATCGCCTCTTTTTTTAATGTTCTTCAACTGCTTGCCCTCGTCTCAATCAGTTCCAGCCTATTCTTCCAGAAACTATTCCATCATATTCATTCCGACTCATCTCATATCCTAGAGCTCTATTTACTCTTTTTTTTCGCTCTATGTTTTTACCATACCTTTATATATGATATACAGGATGATTTACTATGCCTGCTCATTCATTTTTTTATTTTTTGTTAAATTTTACATATATTCAAATACTGATTTTACCAACATTTATTTAAAGTCATATTCCGTCTATTTATGAAATTTTTAATATAGTTCTCATTTAAAAAACCAAAGTTAGTATTGTCACAAGTTACTCCTTAAATGTTGTGAAAAGTCTAAGTACTCAAAAATATCGTCTTTAACTACACTTGAAAATTCCAAAAATCATAATTTGAATACACGCAAAATTTGACCAAAAATATGAGGCGTGCACGCTTAGTGAATCATTCTGTGTATACCGTTGATCTGTTAAAATTATACTTAATATGTTTTGTTTAAAATCCTTTGAATGTTGATTCATTGATTTCAGATAAAATGATATTGTGATAAATGACCTAGACGAATAACAAAAAACAAAAAAAATCACTGATGTTTCTTTTCGAGTTTTATGCGGTTCAATAACAATTAATAGTTGTAAGTATAATAGTACCTATCTATTTAGTATTGAATACTGTGGGTTCGATACTATAAGTCTATAGAACGCGATGTCATGGACGCGAGTTCGGCCCCGGGTATACGGTGGACAAAAAATCAACAAGAAGTGTAAATATATTCTTTTGTATTTGTTTCACTTTTTTTGGTTGTGGATGAGACGAGAGGGGGGAGGGGGAGTATTGATACCAAAACATAAAAACCACTGGTATCTTTGCCATAAGCGCAACAACTGTGTTCAATACCTACATGATTTTGAGTGTGTTGTGTGCCCCAAAGCAATTTAAAGTTTTGAGAAATAAATTTCTGATTCACTCTTTATAACATATATATTATATGTTCAAAGGTTCGAAGCAATTTTTAAACTTATTTCGACTTATTTTGAAACAACGTGTAAGTAAAACGTGTAAAGTCTTCGTTTATGTTTTCATTATTTTTGAGGAGAGAGGGATTAAGGGATTAAATTGATACGTTCGAATACACTGACCCTCCTCATTTTGGATTTCAGTGTTTTCAATACCCTTACGAATTAATTAATTTGGTGGTTTTTAGAATTTGCTTTGCCTTCCTACGACCGTTATAACTGAAACACTACACAACTGATTGCGAATTTATAGATATTATAATATTATGTACCGTGTTGTTATAATAATCGTCAAAGGAATGCCAAAGAAATTTTGAAAACTATCAAACGAATGTAAATAAATTACAAAACTAATTCTCGGTGGTATTGAAAAACCCAAAATTAAAAACAGAATGGAGGCAATGTAATATACGTTAAATTGATTTAGTCGAGTTTGAGCTATTTTGGTTCGGAGAATGCTACTAAAAGTATCCCAAAGTACCAAAAAAAAAAAAAAACCAAAGAAACATATATAATAATAGTATTTATGTATATATTCAGCAGACAATTTTACAAAAACCTTATAAATCAACAAAACTCCGCTCAGAATGAAAGCCATAATGATAAACCCATTAATAGTTTACAGCATATTGAAACAGTATGAATTTATGGTGACAAATATTTCCCACAACTATTATCGTAAAATGTACCCGTACTGTTGCCATATAATAACTTTTTACATAATTACGATACGCAGTTGAAGAATCTACAGATAAATTATTGTAAACTGACTAGATAGCTAACTCTACGAGCAAATCCCACGGAACTTATAAAGTTATAACTACACGGACCTCGCACAGAGATATAAAATTTTGTTGGCGATTTTTGTGCTATTCATAGGTATTGAAGATAACTAGATTTTGTTTCAATCCAGTTGAAATTTTTGTTACATACATAAAATGATGACAGAAAATGTGTATGGACTTTTCTAGATGTGGTAAAATAGTCATATTATTTTGGCGATTCTCAAGCTATTTATAAGTATACATTTTGTCTGCGAGTTTTGTACATAGTTTTTATTTGGTTGGTTCAATGTGAATATAATTATTGTTCGATCAGACAGACATGTATGAAAAATTAACTAGAGTTTCATTACAAGTTGTACTTAATGGTACAAAACGAATTGGAGTGTAATGTATTAATTTTTTGTAACAATGGTTGTAAGACCATAGTTTGATAAAAATCATAAATATTATGACCTTTAAAATCGTGTTCTGAAGGATCTTCGCTCGAAAATGTTTTATTACAGGTATAAATTAAATATTTGTAAGCATAATACATTCCCGAATACCCACTACAGTGATGCACAGATCAACAATATCAACCTTTTTTTTTTTTTGTATCTTACATATATTTGTTCGTTCGATTACTTAACGTTTACGATTTCGTCAAAAATTAAGTGGATTTAATCGATAAGTTTTTTGACAATAAAAAATGCGAGCACAAATAATAATATTATGCTTAATAATATAGGTACTTGACTAAGTATGCACAGTGTACAGTGTACTTAGACGTTTACTGCCTACGGAAGAAGCGTTCTTATTATTCACAATACTTCGACATAATACCGCGTTCATGGTTTGATTACCATTGGGGTTTTAGATAAAAATTTAAAATGTCCATCATTCATAATAACATTCTAGTATTTAGTGCGTTATATTATTGCGCGGATCATTGACGAGCTGATACAGGCATACGCGTATGATATGAAATAATGTATTAACACCTTCTTAATCGGACGCTTTACAGTCGACGTCACGGGTAACCTATAGAGTTTTTTTTTTTTTTTTTTATCGCTTAAATAATATTTAGCGTTCAAGTACGAGTTTTTTTTTTTTCTTATCTATTACAAAGTGTTTATCAATTTTTACAAGTGTTTAAATATGTCAATTAAAAAGTACGAATACGTCGCAACGGTACCACCAGCGGGTCTTATTGACTGCAATACCTATACTCTTAGCTTCCCAGAACGTAAGTTTGTGAAAACAGGTATCTACCCGACAGACGAGTTCTCCGTTTAAGTACAGATAATAACTCCGTTACGTTACGTCAACCTAACACCAGATGTTCTGTTACAAATATTTTCACTGATGGACAAAACCCTATCAAACATACTCGACAATAAGCTGACGATTTTGACACGATATTTGTTTGCGTTTCAAATTCTACACGCAAGTCAACGGTCGACAATTGAACACTGTCGTCTTGACGCATCAAGTCCACAACAATTAAGGGGGCGTAGATATGGAATTGTTTTCTGGACAGCGATGGTTTACTATTTTCTCTTTCGTAGTATGATTTTTGAAAATGCGGTATACATTCTATATAGTATTGCGGTTAAGCTGTCGGTGAAATCTGCTCGAAAATTTTCGTACTGGTATACTTCTGAGTTTAAATGAACTTTGAGGTTTTTCAACGAACAGTTATCGAATCGTCCGGACGGGTTCCGCAGGTTGTTTTTCCGGTCGGTTCGAAAACCGATTACGGCTGATCTCGGTGTTTCTAATAAACTGCTAGATTCAACCGTCCAAGAGTGTGAGGTATTTTCCGGGAGAACCGGATATTCACACAAGTCCCACGTTCTGAACGCACGCGTTAACGGTTTTCGCGAATCCAACACTTTTAAAAGTTTCGATTTCTCTCTATCATTAACTTTTGCAATAGGCATCCCCCAATGTACCTTGCCTAGTTCAATGTTTACATATTTAAAATTAGTATTAGTACCATCACATCCGCCTACAACACGGAGCGCATCAAAATCTGTAGTCGCTCGATTTAAAATAAGCTGTCGATTACAATTGAGTAATATTTTTTTATAATCCTCACAGAAACCGAATAAATATTTTAACGGTTAACAACCGGAAAATTTAATGTCTGGCATAAATTCTTTATTATCACCTACGTCCGTATCTGTGTCCCAGACAGCGTTTTGTAGTTCATATAAATCGTCACGTGTATGCGAACCGTAACATTTTAAACAAGAGGCTATGCCTGAGGTTTTTAAATTTTGGATTGTCATGTCATTCACGTCATACCGCATTTCGGAAAACGAAAACGGCAATCCGTCGTTTGTGAAATTAACCGTTCCTTGTATACCGGTGGTCGAAGTTTTAATTACTTTTGCCACTATAAAAATATAGCTTTCGCACGGACGAGTGTACGCGTCCATATTTTGAATAGACATCCTAATATCGTCGTTGCAAGACATTGCGGAAGACGGGTAAGGAAGAAACGAGTGATATTGCATTTGTGTTATCTTACAATCGTCAACATACCCCTCAGTCATGTTTAAATACGAATCGTCCATTATATTGCCTTTATCGAACGTAGAAATTGTATATTTTCTACAGTTAACTTTTTTTTCTCCTTAAGTATCGTTGGCAAAATACGTGTTGTCTTCTCGACTTTTCGTGTATTACTAATGTCTTTATTCTGTACAAGCCTATATATACTAACGCTGAAGTTAAGCGCCATATGTTAGTTGTAAACGAACCGTGATTGTTTCTCCTCGTAAATTTATTAAATTATCTCCTTGATCTTTTAAAGATATTTGTACTTCGGAAATAGTCGTAGTGTGTTGCGGAGAAAAAAACTAGATATCTCGGTAGTTCCACAATTTTATATTTTCCTCCGACTCGTGTACTTTGTCGCCATCAGTTCGCCACAATCGCTGCTTTTCTGCCAAATCACATTGGACCGCTGCCGATAACGTCGCGTCGTGATCCGTAATAGCATTGTATAATATGTTTTTTTTTTGTATTAATCTATAGGTTAGTAACCATTTGTTTATGTACACCTAACCTATGATCAAGTTTCCGATTACATTTTTATTATTTTCCTTGTGTTACTATTTTCATTTGTATTTATGTATTGCGCGCAAATCTAAATGTAAGTCAACCATTTACCAGCTTATCTCTATTTTGTATTGTTTTTTAATATTAAATTTGCACATTTATAAGTGTGGTCGTCTAGCCCGTAATCCCCAGACATCCTAACACATTCGTCTGTTCTCCGACGATGTAGTTGTTGATGCTAACCGCCCATTAGTAGGAGCATCTCGGCTAAACGAGTAGTCATCCCGCAATTGAATTGATTTATAATGTTCCAACTGTCACTATTGTTGATCGTATTATTGCAATACGTCTTTGTCGAGTATGATAAAAGTATCGAAAAATGACATCTCTATAGTACTGTCCAATTGAAATTTCCTTTTAGAAACATTGCTGTCATTAAAAATTAGAGCAAAATTTTTGGTAGAAAAGAAGTGTAGGGGAAAAAATATTGGTAATATTTTAATAATATATTTCGTACATTTTTCCGGTTTTATTTTTCGGTTTTTCCCCTCTTTTTGGGAAAACTACAAGAAAAATCAAAAATAGCTTTCTTGATGTACCACTCGAAAAAAAAGTTCTGTATCCTATACTTCGGAGTAAATTGACTAATAGTGAAAGTGTTCACATAAAAAAAATAAATTTATTTGTAAAACCAATACATTTATTGATCCGCTCAGAATCTGAAATATCTTCTACGTTTCAGCGAAACGCGCGAGGACTTCGGTGCGGAATTTAATGAATTTGAATGCATTGGTTAATTTATAACCATTTTAACCGTGCATGGTTCACTCCTCGTGAATGCCTAACGGCTATATTATTTGACTGAATGGAATTTGAATAGGTTTTTTTTTTCTTCATATAGCCTACCCGTTCTACACAGATAAACCATGGAAACGGTTATCAACACTAACCACCAAAAACCGATAAATAAGGATGAAAAAAACCAGCAAGGCTGTACTTCGATATCCTTCGAGTCTCAGGTACGTATTTCTAAGTTGTTTAAATTGTGCGAAAGTTTTAAACGTAAAAGTATTTTCAAATTTATAACTTTAGGCGTAAAAATTTCGGTTGTTTACGATGATTAAAACGATATTTACAACGGATAATTTACATACCCGAGATTACCTAAATCACACGGTGTTTGTTATTCGTTTGTAAAATTAAAATAATAGTACGGACGGGCGGCAATGATATTTTTATTTACAATAATAATGCTAATAGTTTGCATAATATTGTAATAATTTCTACGGGAATGCGAGTACATTAAAATTAACATAAGTTAATATTTTAAATCTACCGACGCGTCTCGAATTTCTAAACAAATGTGTTAAAGTCGAGTATTCGGTGACGAACGCAGGGAAGAAAGCGGTGCAGTTTAATCCATGACATCACACAGCGCCCCGAAATTTGAAACACTATGATTTCAATGTGTATAGTGGATAAAGAAAAATTATAAAATTGAGTCTAGGAGGCAAAATAGCAAAAAAATTTAAAAAAAAGATAAATAAGGTCAAATCGGGAAACCGAAGGTCTCAAAAATTGACTGCAAATTTATGTATATCGATATTTTCCAAGTTGACCACGGGGAATGAAGGTCACGAGTTCAAAACCCCAACGAAATATAAACTCGCCGTTAACTAGTATTTATAATTTCAATAATATCAATTGATTTCCAGCAATAAAATGAGATTTTTTTTTAAAATGAGGTATTTTTTCAAATCTTTCAGCCCTTTCTCACAAAAAATAATGTTTCATTGCATCAGCCGTTTCGAGTACTAGCAATGATAATAATATATTTTCGACTCGTCGACAAATTTATGCACG